TCTACTTCTTTTGTATGTTTGTCACACTCTTGTGACCCGCTATTTCCGGGGTGCCTTGATAGTCGGAGCAGACTTTGCGCTGTTGAAGCTAGAGAGGTGAGCAGAGTAAATCTGATTCCCTGTAAAGACTTCTCTGTTGACACCCACCCCTTGGCGCTCATGTGACCTTAAGCAGTTGCGAGCAGTGGCGGTGGGTGACCCAAAATTTGGGTGGGGCTTGGCTTGCTTCCAGTTTTTTTACCACCAAATAGCAAGCAATAAGAATTAAACAGTGATGATTTTTCTATAGTCACGGTGAACCATGGCAGTTTGAGAACCATTCAAACGAGAAGAGTTGCCTTTGTTTTCAATCTCTTTGTTCTTAGTTAAATTCTTGTTGATGGTGGGGACGAAACCGATTCACCTCCAAATTTCCTTTAATTAGTTTTCGTGTGATGAAAAAGTTATAACCGTTAAATCTCAGCTGCACAAACACAAATATGCACACACAGCACTTCAAACATAATACTTCTATGAGCTGGATTAGGCCGTGTAGTCGAGAAAGTTGAACGCACCCAACAAAGAACCAATGAGCGCATAGGTATCTGTGTCAGTAGGGGAAAGTGTGTCGTAAACTTTCACCCCATTGTCAGGGCTAGGAGAGCATGAGCCCTCGGTACAGGTTTATTTTTTCCCTGTCTTCTACCTTAGGGCTAGGAGAGCATGAGCCCTCGGTACAGGGTTATTTTTTCCCTGTCTTCTACCTTAGGGCTAGGAGAGCATGAGCCCTCGGTACAGGTTTATTTTTTCCCTGTCTTCTACCTTAGGGCTAGGAGAGCGTGAGCCCTCGGTACAGGGTTATTTTTTCCCGGTCTTCTACCTTAGGGCTAGGAGAGCGTGAGCCCTCGGTACAGGGTTATTTTTTCCCGGTCTTCTACCTTAGGGCTAGGAGAGCGTGAGCCCTCGGTACAGGTTTATTTTTTCCCGGTCTTCTACCTTAGGGCTAGGAGAGCGTGAGCCCTCGGTACAGGGTTATTTTTTCCCGGTCTTCTACCTTAGGGCTAGGAGAGCGTGAGCCCTCGGTACAGGGTTATTTTTTCCCGGTCTTCTACCTTAGGGCTAGGAGAGCATGAGCCCTCGGTACAGGTTTATTTTTTCCCTGTCTTCTACCTTAGGGCTAGGAGAGCATGAGCCCTCGGTACAGGTTTATTTTTTCCCTGTCTTCTACCTTAGGGCTAGGAGAGCATGAGCCCTCGGTACAGGTTTATTTTTTCCCTGTCTTCTACCTTAGGGCTAGGAGAGCGTGAACCCTCGGTACAGGGTCATTTTTTCCCGGTCTTCTACCTTAGGGCTAGGAGAGCGTGAGCCCTCGGTACAGGGTTATTTTTTCCCTGTCTTCTACCTTAGGGCTAGGAGAGCGTGAGCCCTCGGTACAGGGTTATTTTTTCCCGGTCTTCTACCTTAGGGCTAGGAGAGCGTGAGCCCTCGGTACAGGGTTATTTTTTCCCGGTCTTCTACCTTAGGGCTAGGAGAGCGTGAGCCCTCGGTATAGGGTTATTTTTTCCCGGTCTTCTACCTTAGGGCTAGGAGAGCATGAGCCCTCGGTACAGGGTTATTTTTTCCCTGTCTTCTACCTTAGGGCTAGGACAGCGTGAGCCCTCGGTACAGGGTTATTTTTTCCCTGTCTTCTACCTCAGGGCTAGGACAGCGTGAGCCCTCGGTACAGGGTTATTTTTTCCCTGTCTTCTACCTTAGGGCTAGGAGAGCGTGAGCCCTCGGTACAGGTTTATTTTTTCCCTGTCTTCTACCTTTTTACAAGAAGAGTTTCATTAAGGACGGACTGTGGGAAAAGTGCTCATCTTTGCTGAGCCCTAAAGATATTTGATTGGCTGCTGGGTTACTATAGTTGTAAGCGGGGACAACAGTGATTGGATAAGCGAGCAAGCCGCCAGGTTGATCACTCTGTGTTCATTGCTGCGGTCATAACGGTTTC